GCCGGTAATAGGCTCCTCCTGCGGAAATCCCCGGGTTGCCATGGAAACCCATGGAAACCGGGAGTGTCTGTCCCTCTGCCCTTCCACAGGAGGGCCACCTCTGCCAGCAAGCTTGCCCCCCTCCCCTTTGTCTGCACCTCTGTGATTGGAGGCAGCCTTCAGTGATGATGAGGAGGAAAAGGAAAAAGGGAGAAGAGCATCTTCACAGGTCCCTTTGATCTCTGGCTAGTGCAGCCTCCAGACCACCTAAGAGCCATTGACGTGCCATCCAGCAGCTGTCTCTGCTCCCCCAGCCCCCACCTCTAAAAAATCCCCGAGAACTGTAGCAGGAATTGAAGCTTTCGAAGTCATCAATGACAATTTTGTTTAATCTTTTAAAATCTGTCACTTCAAAAAAGAAAAAAAAAACCTAATGGTTTTCTAATAAAAATAGCGATGACTATAATTCATAGATGGTTTACTTTTACAGGAGTCAGAATGACATTAACATTTTAATCTCAGATCAGAACACTCTGCATCCAGAGAGTGCACAGGGAGAGGGCTCAGTAGGAGAATGTTTTAACCTCTCCTCCTCTCTGGTTGTGAGAAACATTGTTTGATAAGAGAATGCAACCAAAATAAAAAATGTGGGTGATTGGAACATTTGGTTGCATTCAAATGAATCCTAACTTATTGGATTTGGTATAGCACACTAAGGCACGGGTGACAGAGTAACTTTGACGTGAATTCATTCCACAGAAAAAATTAAAATGGCCAACAATTTTCTCCTGGTCAATGACATTAATAGACTAGACAATAAAAATATAGAATCCTTGCGATCTTGTCTGGGTTTTCCTGGTTAAAAAGATTCCTAGATATGTGTCCCAGTAATCCTTAGCCTGAATGATAGCAGAGGACTTAAGACCAAAATGTGTTATTCAAAATAGTTTCTGACAAAGAAACCCAAAATACTACTAAATGACACATCTCATTCTTTAGGGAAAGAAGAAGCATTTACTATAAACATGACGTCTCTAAAAGACCAGCAAAGTCAAACAAATGTTAACACTTCTGATGAGTATCTCCAGATACTGCCAATCCACAAATAAATTACGCGGTAAAATATATGTATATATAAAGAGTGAATGAATGAATGAATGAATGAATGAATGAGTCGCCCGTTGGATATGTGTAAGGTATACCCAAGTAGCTGAATGAAGAATTATTTAATCCATCTGAATGTGATGGCAGCACAATACCCAGCCATGCCCACAAAGTCTTCAGCTCTCCCTTAGCAGGACATTCGTCATGTAGATTCAGGCTTCCGTCCCCTCCTCCCACTGAATCGAAAGCCCGGAAGCCTCCCTCATTTACAAAGCCTTTGGTTTTACCTCTGGAGAATTTCCATGGGCATAACTGTACCAGAGCCTCAGCAGGAGCTTTGGGAGCTGGTCTATCCCTCTGGCTCCCAGAGGAGCGTCTGCCCGTCTAGCAGCGCACCTTCCCCTCACACGCCCTGTGCCTCCTGTTCCCACCCAGCTCCTCCCTTGCCATTGTCCCAGTCCATGGATCACAGGAAGGACTCCTTTTATCCTGCCTGCAAGACATGCAGATCTGCTGTGTGAGGCGCTCAGACCACTTTAACGACCCACCTTTGGGTCCTGTGAAATCTCTAATACATTGTGAGAAAAACCTACTGCATCCATATTTACGCCCCTTCTAAGTTAGCCTCCATATGTGAACCGAAAACTGGACGTTCCTGAAAATACTCTGTTAGGAGGTTTCACTTTTTCTTACTTCCTTTGTCTCAGTGGGGGAGCAGGGCTAGCTGACTCATTGCTCCCCAGCCTTCTGTCTTACGTCTATACCATTTGTAGACCATTTTCACCCCACTTTTCTTTTATCGCCCCCATCATTTGTTCTGTCACCTGCTGGCTGCCATAACTTATCTCCAGTTTGCTGAATGACTTAGGGTCTGGCTTATGTTTTCATTGACCATCATAACTTATTTTCATCCTTGAAGACATTATCATCCATTGCGATGACTCATCTTCTTATACCAGGACTTCACAATTCCTTATGTTCTGTTTCTAATCTGAATCCACCCTCCCCACATCCCTACCACTTGTGAAGTTCAAGAATATAATATATCTTCATATTCTTCAGGAGATGTAAATGTATGTGCATAATGGCAAATATGCAATGCAATATAATAAGAGAAATGAGGAATCATTCATTGGGTGTTCTGGGAACACAAGTGAAAGTCATCAAAGGCCTACTAGAAGTGGATAAATGGGTCTCAAAAATCTAATAATGGAAGTGGGGCTTGATTTCCGTCATGAAAGATAAATAAGAGTTGGCCAACACACAAGCAACAGTGGTAAGTCCTTCCAAATCCAAATTGTTGATGACATTATATTGTCCCACTTCACCAAGTACCTCCAAGAGCCAAGCCCAACAATCCACTCTTCAGGTGGTTTTAAGAAGGAGCTTTATAAATTTCAAATACAATTTCAGAAGTCATTTTTATGAAATTTAGCTGGGATCCTCTTTAAATCTTCCGGTGGATCCACATTGTTCATAGAAGAATGTCCAGGTTTTCCTGGAATACTCTACACGGTGTGGCCTCTTCCCTCATCACTGCAGCCGCACCCCAACATAGTTTTCTGCCCCTTGCTGTTCACAGGCTGCTTTTTCTGTCCCACATTTGTCTTCTCCCTCTATCCCTCGACCCCCTGGAGAATTCATGGCTGAGCTAACTTGCTTCTCAGTGAATCCTGTCTGACCCCAACTTGATCACCTCTTCCTCTTTGGTGTCCCTCAGACACCACTCTGTCATCTTTGCTCACACTGCTGATCTCCCCCAGAAGCTTCTCTTTGAGGACAGTATCCTCCTTTGTACCCTCGGCATCCAGCGCAACTCTCGAGACAAACCTACTTTGGTGTTTTGAATGGCTGTTAGGAATGTCACTCTAGGAGATCTTTTTCATCCTGTCCAAGTCCCTTCTTGTCCAGCCAGGGTCCCCATTTAATTAAGAGAGTGGAACTGGAATCCAGTTGTCTTAGCTCCATTCCATAGGTCTTTTCCCTACGTCGAGCGCCCCCCGTAGATGAGTTCCCCTAGCGATCATCACCGACTCTACCCATTGGGCCGTTTTGCTGGCTGTCCCATCATTCTTCTAGACTTGTATCTTGGGACAGAGGTTTGCATGCATTTTGCCTTTGGGATTCAGTTTCCCACAATGAGTTGCATACCACAGTCAGTGATGAACAGAAAGATGCCATGCTCCCTCCTTCCCAGGGCCTGTCTCACAGATTTGTTCCGCAGCGCTCACAGACAGTACCAACTGTTCTTCCTGTTGGCTGCCAAAATAAGTCAGCAGTTGGGAAGGGGGGGGGGAAAAGACTATGAATTATGGAAAATAACTAGGGAGAGAGAATGGCAATACAATGGGAAAAAGTAACAACTCTTTGTAGCCCCCCACCCAGGTGACTGTCTCCAATTTCAGCAGACTACCAGAAAACTAAACAAAGAACAGCATCCAGTCAAGCAGGAGCCTCTGAGACAGGACAGTCGCTGAAAACTTTCCCGGCTGATCTGACTCACCAGCCTGACCGCAATCATGCAAGACTCAGGCCCCAGTCTCTTGCACAACCCTGTGTTTCATGAAGACAGCAGATCACACGGCAAAGGGGCAGCTAGATGGAAGGATGGGGAGTGACAACATATGTTGGGAATAAACTCAGTTTCCATATGAAAAGGTTCGTAAACCACCTCTAGCCAAGCATTCCGGAGACAAGTCTGACCTATAAACCCTTCCAGTGCCTAATGGGGTGTGCATACAGGCAAGCTTCGGGTGTCATTATGATGTATGCTGGAGCAGAGGGGTGCTCGCATCTTAACGTCCCCAGCTCATGCTTGGGAGCACACGTGTTAGTCTTGTCATCCTGGTGGCGTTTATCTCAAGTGCTAAGAATATGATCATGAACCTATCACGAGGTGTGCCTGAGCAGCATTTTTTCTCAGGCTCGCAGAATATCACCTCAGAGCTCCCCCAGCACCTCATGTTAGTATTTACCAGGCTCTCCTGCAACTCTTTCTGCCTGCTTCCCCTCAGAGCCTCCGAGAATTTACATCGCGAAGGGCATTCCTCGCACCTACCCCAGTTCTATGAATTCTTAGAAAATATGCACAACACACAAGAAAAACTACTTTAAAAATGCATGGATGTGGTTTATTGTCTGTGGCTTTAAGACTCTCCTTTGGCAGTTGTCTTCCTCAGGAGCAGTGCGTCTGCACCAGCTCGCATACCACTGTAGCTTTTGTAGAAGCTGCTTTGGTAACACGCTTTTTAAAAAATGCTGCAGAGAAATGGTCATTGCATTTCTGTTTACACCATCATCTAGACGACTGTTGCTCATAGATGACTTTGTTAAGACTTTTTACTTTGGGGCCGCAGCTCTATATAACTGTGGTTGTATAAACATTCAGTTTATAATAACATACAGTGTAGTGGGAAAAAAATAATGGAAATGAAACAATTTTGTGTGTCAGCTTGATGGGGTTTGTTGGTGTTTTTGTTTTACTGTTTTCCTTTTCATAGACTCAACCTCCCTGCTTTGAGTTGAGGAAAGAAAAGAATCACAAAGGGAGGGGAGGGGTCTAGCTCTGCCGTGTGAGTGCTCCTCGATGGGGAGGGTCTTACTTTCTGGTGGAGTCGAGGCCTGCGTTTCTCCTTGGCCCCGCACGGTGTAGCCACTACAACTCTCGTGTGTGGGCATTTCCAAACATTAATGACAACGTGTGCACACAGCAAACACACTTGTTAGAAGGAAAACCTTTGGGATTGTGAGTAAACGTAATAGTATTTAAAAAAATTAAGGAAAATGTACTGGAATTAATTTTGTTAGCTTTGTTTCTTCTAATCCTCTTCTGGAAAAATCTCTTGCCCGACTGTTTTCCCATCATCATTTTTGGCATCTTCGTGCTGTTTAGTGTCTCCCTGCTGTTTGTGTTTTAGATGGGAGTCCGAAAAGTGTTTCTAAAATACTGGCACGCCGACCAGCTCAATGATTTGTGCCTGCAGCGGCAGAGAAAAATTATAACCTGCCAAAAAGGTAACAATTACACACTCACCTTTCCGAACCCCTTTGAGTTGTGAAATACAAAATCATTTAGTGCACCCCTGAGTCGAAACGTCAGTGGGACCTACTCTCCAGTGGACAAGGGCACGACGTGTGGACAGTGTCCGGGAGCTGAGCCAGCCCCGTGGTTCCGTTTGCTCCTTACCTGACTCTAAATCAGCATATGCTCGTTCTGCTCCTACCGGATCTGGTAGTCATTCCACCTGAAATTTTACATCAAATTTTCACCTCACGCACAGTTTGGAAGAGGGAATATTCGTATCTTAGAATTTACGCAGCCACCACCTCGCAAATATTCACGCTTGCTGATCTGTTCAGAAAGCACAGGGCAGGACGATGTACCTTTGAAGCCTAGGTGGGAACCCCCGCCCACCACCACCACCACCGCCGCCACGTGGCACCGAGGTGCAGCGAGGAGCCAGAAATAGGCCATTTCGGTCAGCATCAGTGGGACGCTGGGATTTTATGTAATCCTACATGTGCCTTGGGAAAATCCTTGACTCTCACCTTTCCTTTATGAAGTGACAATAATATTGGAGTATTATCTCTGATAGCAGACAGCTATTTTAGCATTGGGAGAGATTTCGTGTAGAACTTTTTCCCTATAAAAACCCAAGTGACCATTGAAAATGGGTACATTTAAAAAAATTGTAACTATGCCTCCCATAAAATATATATATATATATACACTTAATAACATTAATCTTTAATTTGCTTAGTGATTTGATTATATTATATATCATAAATACGATATTTAAAGGAAGTTAAAAGAAGGAGATATTACAAAGGCTAGTTTTGGGGGAACCTGTTGTAATGAGCTTAGCTCTCCGATATCTCCGGAAATGTTAAATACAAGCGCAGCTCGTGGAATGCAGAAATCAGTTTTATTCCGTTCAAGCCTCTGTCCGTGGAGCCCCTGCGTAAAATATCCAAGGGGGTCCCATTGTCTTCTGATGATAAAAAGCCCTGCTACATGCTGGTCCCTCAAACTGTCTCCATCAGAATTTTATAGGTCCAGTCCAAGAAATGCTCAGAATTCAGAATTACCTTCCAAGTTAAACCATCCCTCTTGGCCACCGCAGACCCCGCGGGTGGGGCCTGGGCATGGCTCTCACCCTGTCCACACAGGTGTGTGCAGACCCCTAGGACTGGCGACAGAGAGGGAAGAAGAGGGGCCGGGGCAGCCCTTCTGTCTGACTGGCACCTGTGTAGTCTGGCATTGGGCTTCTCTGACAGGGCTGCAGGTGTTCAAAGGCTCTTGGCTACGCGGGAGCACATCAGCAGGGTCCTTGGCACTGGCGCACCTGAGAGGTGGCCTGACCTCTCCTTGGGACAGTACTTGTAATAGCCTCTGGGACCCCCCACAGGCAAGCTGGCCTTGGTGCTCTCAAATAAGCCCCTTTCAGTGATTCCAAGCAGGTGTCTAGTGCCCGAGAAACACAGTGTGGGAGCCTGGCATGTTCCACCATGTCCTCCAGACTCCACAGTCACATGGCTGGTTCTCCGCGTGGGCTCCTGAAGCCACTTTAACCAGCCTGGAGGTCAGCAGTGGCGTGGGGAGGCTCGGGTGCTGGAGGCAGTCCACCCCAACTCTAGGCACCTTTTGTTCCTCTCTGGGTTATGACAGTCTGGTCTCCTTAACTTCATCCTTCATCCACGTAGCGAGAGGCTGGGGTCCCAGGTCAGTTTGCACCACTGCCTTTTCAATTCTTCTCCGTGGGCTCAGCCCCACCAACTGCTGTGCCCTGTGAGCACCTGCAGCATCAGCATCACCTGGGAGCCAGTTAGAAATGCAGAGTCTCGGGCCCCCACCACCTCCAGATTCAGTATCTGCACTTGCAGCCTCAGCTGGACCTGGGAGGGGGGACCCTATTGCCAAGACCAGTGCCCTCACCCTTGAGCTATGGGAGCCAATGGAGAATCCCATTTACCATCATGGTATCCACACATAGAATGGGATCTCAAATTCCCTTGGAAATTTTCCTTCAATACAATGAAAAGAACGTGTACCCCTTCTTCATTCAGGGATGCTCACTAGAAACGTCTCCTGTATTTAATGACAAAGATTAAGCTGACCCTACTGACCTGAAAGGGAAGAAACAAGCAGAGCTCTAGGTATTCCTTCATGTTTAAAGATAAAAATTGAGACAGGTCTCAAAAAAATGGCATCACAATAAAAACCATAATTTCAGATTGCATAAATGAAATAACGGATATAAAAGTTCTTTAAAATTACAGGCTCTTAAATGCAAAGCATTAATTATTGATTTTTATTTTTACATCTCTTGAACAGTCCCTTCAGTACTTTTTGCCTGTGTGAAATTCACTCAACATGTATATAATCTGGAGTTATTTCCCCATTTTTCAAGGGTTCTCATTTTTCTTTCGTACATGTTGTGGGTCGGGGGGAGAAAGCTGTAACTTTAAGCATTTTAACAGTCAGTGACTCCTAATGGAATTTTCTGCCTGACCCTACATGTTCATTTTGTCCTGGATGAAAACTGTCTAAAATCTCAATGCTGGAAATGTCAGGAAAGCCAACTTTTAACTTGTCTGAAAGAGAACAAGTATCGGTTATTGATTATGGGAAATTTATTTTTACTAGTTGCCTCTTATTAAGGAAAGCCAGTTTTAGCAGCCGGTATATCATTTTTAAGGGAGGTTTAAAGGCTGCCAGGATGAAGTGTGAGAAGACGGAGTCCCCAGACGCGGGACAGCAGGCCCCGGTGAATGGACATGCGGTGAATAGCGCTGCTCTGATGGGGTCACAAGAAGTCTCCCATGGCCACAGTAATCTTTCCTTTATTCCAAAAGTCAGTGTCTCAATTTTTTTTTTTTAATGTAATAGGAACAAGCGAGCAGGCAGACCAATTTGAGCTTTCTGTTTCTGTCTCAGTTGCCCACCGCCTGGTTAACACTTCTGCCTCTTATGCTGTACTTTATATTCCTGGAAGTCTGATTGTACCTTTCACTCTTCAGTTTTTTTTCCCCTTTAGATTAGTTCAGCATGACTGTTTTATAGTGAACTTAATACAACTGCATTCCAAAGTAACTAAACATTTAGTATTGCCATTCGGAAAAAAAAAAAAAAGCCTTAAGCATTTTAGATGTCTGCATATTATTTGCCTCTGGAGCCATAATTGTGGAAAGTTGTGTTCAGCTTTCCACCTTCTAATCAAGTAAAGGCATCAAAATGAATATCCTAGATAAGCCGCACATTTTTTCTTCTATAGCCCAGGGAGTATTTTAAAGCACTTAATGCTTTACAGACCTTCCCCCCCACGCACACACTATAAACAAAAACAAAGTGTCTTTGCTACACACATTGGTTTTTCCCTGAAATTATAGATCTTCTTAGAATTCCAGCAATTCCTTCTAACCTTAGAAGCTTGGAATTGGAAGGGGCAGCGTCCTAGGGTCAAAAGGCCCACCTGGGAATTTACACCTGTTCACAGTATCCACAAGGGGCTATTTACCCTCTCGGACATGCTGACTCCCTCTCTCAGGAGCCGGCCTGATCCGTTTACACCCCGTGCTCATTGTTAGAAAGTCCTTCTTCACGTTGATCGCAAATATGCTTCCCTGTGACTTCTCCATTGGTGACCTGCTCTCTGCAGAGCTAAGGTGGCATCTGGGTGGCCTGGGGTAAGGGAATCGGTTTGGCTGCATAAGCATGGAAATTTGAAACCTGGCTCTACCATTCATTGGTTGTGTTTACCTGAAGGAATTTTCTTAGCTTTACTAAGCTTCTCTTTCTCCAGGTGCAAAATGGAGATAATGGTTTATGAATTATCATTGAGTGTTGGCATGAAGGGATAGAGTGCCTGACACATGGAAATGCCTTTAAATGGTGGGCATTATTATTTCTGTTTTCAAGTCTTACCATTTGTTACTGACATATTAGCGATTTCAAAGCATGTTCACTCATGTAGTTCTCCCAATTCTTACACATTTTTCTAGCTAGCGCCACTTCTCTGGAGAGCAGGAAGGATGTCCTAAATTCACACACAATCTCTTTCCAGAGTCTTAAATGCACTGTTCGTTTTTTTAGGAGTTAAATCATAGTCTTATTAACAAGATGTGCATGTTTTTGAAGACAACTTCCACAAGCCTCAGCCATTTCTGTTCTACTTGGATATAATGAGAGAGGAGCAGTGCATCCTAAAATGGTCCAGTTGGAGCTACACTGCAGAATTCTCTGGGATTGAGACCTGGTTCCTCCCTACTGATTTTCATCCAGTCCGTCTCGTCCAGCTGTGTTACAAAAAGAAGTGTGGATGTCTCATTTCTTAGGTTACGGATTTTGCCTCTTCGGTGTTACCATTGCTGAATTTAGATACCTTTTCGGATACGAGATTGGAAGGTTTTGTAAATTCTTATTCTGAGTTAAATGCGTCTTACGTTATGGCTGCTGAGACATCAGTGTGTTGTGACCTGTTTGTGTGTCTGGGGTTTCGCTTCCGCTCCTCTCACTGACCCATGATTGTGTTCTTTTATGAAAGTTGTAAGAGGATTTCTAGCACGCCAGCACTTGATTCAGAAAAGGAGCATCAGACAGCAAGAGGTCACATCCATCAACAGCTTCCTGCAGATTACAGAGGACATGGGGCTGAAGACCTACGATGCCCTGGTCATTCAGAACGCTTCGGACATTGCCCGTGAAAATGACCGGCTGCGGAACGAAATGAATGCTACTTACCATAAGGAGAAGGTGGAGGCCAGACACAAGCCAGAGGAGGGAACCAAAAGGTAACGGCAGATAGTATGCAACTTTAATTACCTTTGTCATTGATCCAGTGGAGTCAGGAAAGTCCCGATAGCACTTAATGCAGGGTTCACTCAAATCTGACGGTGGCTACGGGAACGAGCGTGGATGTGCGCATGGCTTGCTACTTGAAACCTCCGAGCAATCTAAAAGGGTCCCTTCTTGTGCTTTCTTTTCACGCAATACATGCTCTGTGTTAGTTTCTCCATATGAAACGTTATTGCTTCCCCTACGTGCTGCATCGCTTACCGTCTCAAGGCCAGAGTTTTAAGGCAGCTCATGTTTCTGTCTTAGCAAAAACATACACCTGGGTTCTTGACATCTTTATACAAGTATTATGTATATGAGGGTGACTCATAGAAACTTCTGGGAGTCTGACCCAAACAATGGAGAAGCCACTCTGAAAACAGAGAAGTGGTGAAATCGATGTTTTGTACGTATACTATTTCCCTTAGTAATTTCTCACTGTTTCTTCGCCAATAGGGAAAGTTTTGGGGAAACGCATTTCTTTTTAAAGTTCGCTTTGAATGCTGAGCTTGGGATAGAAATGCGGAGGCGACCTGGTGCTTCTCCATGTTATCAGTCTTGCCTCTCTGTGAGGCATGGGGACACCCCTGGTCCTCAGCACCCCACCCGGGAGGGCAGGGACCTGGGTGCTCACTCGACGTCAGGCAGGTGTTTGTTTTTCCATAGGAACTTGGCGTTAGCTGGTCGTTTCTGACTGAAAATGACTCCCCTTTGCCTCAACTGCCGGTGTCCAATGATTTTTTATTAAAGATGAAATGGTGATGTGTCTCTCGCTAATTAGCTTCAACTATCTCTCCGTGATTAAATACTGAAGAAATTCCCTTTGTACGAAAAACTGTAATTAAACATTACAGGGAAAACAAATTATTCACTGAGCGCCCTGCTTTCATCTCTGGCTAGTTCATTTTCTACATGGGTGTCTGGCTCTGCCTCGTGGTAGATCCCAGCCCGGCTGGGGCTCCACCACACAAAGATATAATTACACAAACAAATGCTCGGAGACTCCTTGTGAAATGAACGCATTGGCATCTCACTAGTACATGATTACATTGACATGTGAAGCCAGAAGGGATTTTTTTTTTAACCAGATAACTATTAATTTTATCTGACTTCCAGAATAGTATTTATTATTTTCGCTGCTGGAACTAAACAGCCACCCCAATTTCCCAATTTGATTATGTATTCGTTTGCCTGATATAAAATTAAGTGAAGAAGTCTTTTTCTATGTATTTGTTGAATACCAGCAGTTTGCTTGGCATTGCACAACCAGATGGGGTAAGAGAACAAAAATAATAATTCTGCACATCATTAAATATTGCTCGTGGGGTTTAAATTGCAAGGAGAAAAGAGGAGAGAGAGAGAGGTGTAAATCTTTGATAGTTTTAAGTCAAGTACATACTCTTTGGCAATGGGAGATGGTGATGAACTCCCAGCATTTGATGCATGAGTAACTCTGTATTAAGATGGATTTCCCAGAAATTATCATTCAGATTGAAATTCTGGTTTCTTGATTTGCTTAATAATCAGAGTGTGAAAAATTCATTCAGTGAATGCCTGATAGAAAATGTGGCACTCCTTAAGCAGTGCTGCGTTTGTGTGAGATTCTTAAAAAGTCACCATGATGAATCTCCATCGTGCTCATTTATCAGAGAGCAGGGGCCGGAAGGACGGGCAGCGCTCTCTGGATGCGCCCGTTTCCAGAGCGCTACACACACATCCTCCAGCCGCGGCGGGGAAGGCTCTTTACCAAAAAGCCGTGATTATGTCTGCTTGAGCGGGTTCATTGTGACCGTCTGAATAATGCATCTGGGCCCCTCTGGTGGGGTGCTGTTTGTGTTTTGTTCCCCCAAGAGTCGAAGACAAGTGTGGACCCAGGCATTTCCACTACAGCTCCGTCCCGGTCCCCATGGCGGTGGATGGCCTGATCCAGTCTCTGGCTGGCCCATCCACCCGGTCTCCTTCTCTGCACTCGGTGTCCAGCCTGGATGACAGCAGTGGCCTCCCCTCACCACGGAAACAGCCTCCGCCCAAGCCAAAGAGGGACCCCACCACGCGGCTGAGCGCATCCTATGAGGCCGTGAGCGCCTGCCTGTGGGCAGTGGCCAGGGAGTCTGCCAGTGAAGGTCAGCAGAGGGAAGGGGGGGGCGCCTGGTCTGGGCCCCGATGCTCTGCCTCCCCGTGTCTGAATGACCCCAGCAGTATCGTTGCCCTAATCTATTTTTAATAGAAATAGGTCCAGTTGTTGGCTTACCAGCAGCTCTTTCACCATTAAATATAAATCCTATGTGTTCAGTTCTCTGAGGGTGTTAGGGAAAAGCACGTTGTATGACATTTCCTTACCCCGCCCGTCCCCACGTCCGCATCATCAGTGCAGGCGAGGGCCTCTGACCAGAGCACATCAGAGTGTCCGTCCTTGGCCAGGGAAGTGTTCACTGGTCAAAGCCTAAAAAAATTCATCGGGCATCCCTATTGTCACCGTCTGATTAAAAACCAAGCCTGCTTTATCATGGGGAAAGTGCAATATTCAGGCAGAGGAGACTCACACCACAACAAAAGCCATTCAGCAGAACTTTGGGGTCTAGCTGAGGGAAGTTTCTGCATTGGCGGCCTAGAAATATTTAGGCAGAAAAGGGGGAAAACAGAGTCTTCTCTCCATGACATCTCTCATCGACTAGTACATGTGACCATTATCACTGAACTATTCATTTTTCAAAGAGTGAACAATAGAGGCAGGACGCCTTGGCAGAGCAGGTACCGATTCCGGGGTTATGTATCACCTACCCACAGGTAGGCCCCATCGTGGGCCCTAGGGGATATATCATAAATAAAACAAATGGGATCATCTTTCCTTGTGGGGTCTCCGTTCTCGTGTGGGAAAACAGGTGCTCAACACAGTACACAAGTCAACACATGAAGTATTTTAGCAGATCATGGCTGCAGAGAAACGTACACAGGGTGAGAGGTGGTAGTGCAGGGCAGGGGGTGAAACTCTACATGGAATGGCGTGTAGGTTCCACTAGAAAGTTCTACCCGAACATGGGACAGATCACAATTCCTTCCATAAGCAAATGAGCCAGGAATACAAAAGCACGGCAAAGCCACACGCTCATCTGTGGGAGAAGATGTGTGATACCACGGGGGTTGGTGGAAAGCCCATGGCTCAGGGGCCCTGAGCAATGAGAAGGCCCCAGCTACCTGCAAAGATGCTTCTTATTGGTCACCAAAAAAAAGAATGGATTTTTAAGAGAATATTTATTTAAAAAAAAAAAAAGGCCATTACTATTGTAATGTTTGAGTTACGTCTTGATAATACGGAGATGTAGGAAATGTAGGAGAAATTCCTGAGTTTGGGGAGAGGGGTGCAAGTGTGTTCCTGGCGTCATGGCAGCAAAAACAGCCGCGAAAGCTGAAAATGGGGTTAGGGAAATCTCGGGAGGACAGGCTTCGGTGGCCATAGATGTGAGCGTAGACCCAGTGTTAGAGCAGGGTCTGCGGAGATGGGGACCTCCTCCGATGCACCACACCGACCACAAGAGGCTGTAGAACAGATCATAAACACGCTCCCGGGGCAAGGGGATACATCCCATTTCCAGCCCTACTTTGGGACCTCTGCCCAGGATTTATGGTATAGAGCTCAAAAAAGTGTGCTGAAGGAAGCTCCCTTTGGCTTATTGGAAGAAGAAGAATGGCATCCAACAGGCTAACCCTGATGAGATGCGGAGCATGTGGAATAGACCCAGGATAGCATCAGAAGCTGGAAAAACAGGAAACAAGATTGAACATTGCAGCCTATGGAAGGTGGTTCCCTGTCCTGATTTGAATGCTGCACACGGGCTCTATAGATTTGAGGAAGTCGGCCCCAGAATAGTCCGTAGCACCTAAAAACTCCTGTGTGTGCCCGTTCCAAAACCATCTGCCCTGGACTTGAGATTCTGGAGTCGTCAGGTGGTGCCAACTAGTCACGTCATCGGGAAGGGAGAGAAAGTATTGGGGATGATGTCAAAACACGTCCATTAAGAAAAAGTGACTGGAGAGCCATAGGAGAGAAAATATATATATATAAGCAGATGACAAGGAATTGCCACTCCTGTGAGGAGTCACCAGGCTCTTCAGTCTCGCTGTTTAAAATACATGATGTGATACCATTAGAGTTCCGAGACTTACAGGAAAACTTAAGTTCTCGGAACCTAATTTCAGCAGGCATGCAGCCGAGGTGCTTGTCGGGGTCTCCCCCACTGATCGCACCCCATGAACTCAGATTTTGGAGGCCAGCCCTGAAGGTGGTGCTTTGATTGCTGTCTACATAACGTGTCCTTTCTTACAAGATTCCTCACATGGACTCTGCGCCCACCACCACATCTCCTGCCGCTGGAGATGAATTCCTCCATCGAAGCTGCTGATCCGATCAAGCAGGTGTGCCCACTGCTCTTGCAGCACATATAGCATCAGGAGTTGGGGGCCAGTGGGGGTCTGGTCACCAGGATTTCCAATCCATAACTGCAAGGTGGCGACACCCTCCTGAGATAAACCCACTCTGCACAGGGGCTCTGGCCCCGTTTATGCTTTTGTGACAGGAGCTGAGGTGTCCAGGACGGAAGCCACTAGCCATGTCTGGCTATTGACATTGAACTTCAAATTAAGTGAAATTTAGAACTCAGTTCCTCAGTCATTAGTGACACTGCAGGGGTGTGGAATCTCCAAACATCGCAGAAAATTCTGTCAGACAGCATTGATTCTACACACTTGTACCCCGAGGGCAATGCTGAGTTTTTTGCACCCCATAGTATGTCACAAAACTGTCCTCCTTCTGCAGAAGATAGGAGGAAGCTCGGATTGCTATTTAAAATGCTCTGTCAGCCTTGGTTTCCTAAGAACAAGGACCACAAACAACCCAGTCGGTTTCTAACCTGAGCCATTCCTTATAGCTTCTTAAAAAATCAAGTTCAGATTTTCTTCTTTTATGTGGAAAGCTGCTGATGCATCTCCGAAGGTTATGTAGTGAAGGGAGGTTTGATTAGAGAAGGAGAGCCAAGAATCTTAGAGAAATCAATGATTAGGTCACATTAAGCCTTGTGCCCATCCCTTTCCCATAGATTTTCATCCAGCAAACTCGGCCATAATAAAGACGGGCAGTGGAGAGAGCTCATTTTTTTCACCGCCTTCGTGCTTGAAAAGCATGAAGCAATTTTATGAGCCAGTAAATGTTGACACTTGTGTGCAAACTATTAGCAAGCTAGGGCCAACTCTTTGAGAATAGAGTCGACCCTTGAGCAACACAGGCTGGAACCGTGTGGGTCCACTTATACATGGATTGTTTCTCAATACAGTACAATACTGTAAACATAGTTTCTCTTTCCTTTGGTTTTCTGAATAACGTTTTCTTTTCTCTAGCTTACTTTATTGTAAAGATACAGTATATAATACCTACGCAAAACACATGTTCATGGACTGTTGGTGTTATCAGTAAGGCTTCTGCAACAGCAGGCTATTGGTAGTAGAGTTGGGGGAGCATCAAAAGTTACGGGCAGATTTTCAACTGCAAGAGGGGTGGGCACCCCTAACCTTTGCATTGTTCAAGGGTCACCTGTGCTATTTTCCAAAAGTCTGGGGTTGGTCTTTGCCAACAGTGACTAGGGGCAGGAAGAACAGGGCTTCTCCTTCTCCTTGCTAGGAGGTTCCCCGGCTCCTAGCTTGTGCACCCCTCTGGAGACTTGATTCTCTAAGCCCATGGTGCAGACTTGCTCCCAGACATGGGGTAACTGGATGGGGAGATTGTGAGAGACAGATTTTGTTCTAGCAGCCCTTGCCTCCCCCCTTTACTCTCCTGTCATGTAATCCCCACACCCACCACCCCTTCAGACTCCAGCAGCCCATTCCTTAGAAATAATACCTTGTGGAATCCATAATTTTTAAAAATAAATTGCTGTATAACTCCATTCTCAATAAGACCATTTATATACATAGATACAAGAATAGTTCCTCTCTGTGGCTTAATTTGGAAATAACATTCCGTTTCTTTTCTTTCTTCATGGTCTGGTTTTTATCTTTAGAATAGCCCTTGGCACATAGTAGGCACTCAATAAATACTTATTGAACAAATGCATGTTCTATAAATATATTTCTTTGTACTTCTTCCATTAAAGTAGAATTTGATTCTTATCAGTAAATCAAAATGAGCGCAATTTGGCCAGGTTCAAAATGTACTCTTGAGATTTGCTGGATTTGGCCTGTCAGTGTATTTCTCATAGAAGCCCTTGATTATATTTTTCTATTAGCTGAAATTTGACAGAAATTAGGTATTCCATGAACACCATCCTGAGAATATGTTACTGGATATAGAAGAATAGTGCTGTTCTGTAGATGTTTCACAACTCACGACACGTGACTCCATTCAACACATAGTAATTAAGTGTACTCCATGAGGCTGGCTCCTCCCAGAGGGCCACGGAGACCAGTGGGGGAGATAAATGGGCAAACAAATTATAAGATAAGCAGAGTAACAGCAAAGAGAGCAGATGGTGTGGAACACAGGGCAGGGGGGCTGACCCTTGTTGGAACCTGAGGAGGGGTCAAGAAGAACATCTCAGTGACGTTACTCATGTGGGTGGGGTGAAGTCCAGTGGGTAAAGATAGGGTAACAGCAAATGTTATGGACTCCTCCCACCAGAAAAAAATACTGTAAGGTCACAATATGTCACAGCTCAGTGGAAGCCCTTTTTTTTTTTTTTCCCATTTGTAGCTGGTTGTACATCGATACTACATTCACTCATGTATGTAGCTGGTCCACCGGCCAGCTAGCCAGCATTGATTTGAGCATCCTTTATGTCCGACGTCCTGTGCTTATAAGCGTTAAGTTTGCTCTGAAACTAGGCAAAATCACACTGGAAGGATTGGAATACAATGGATACGTACACACACACAGATAGAACTGTTTTCTTGATGAACAAGCTTCTTGTTCATTCCTTCTCATAGACTAAATGTGTAGGTACTTGGTTTTCAGTGAGAATAGGGCCAAAAAACTTGTGTCCTACTCAAAATGGTTACCTAAAAGCCATTTGACATACCTTAGCAAAACTTCAAAGGGCAGGTATTCTGTACAAGAACATTTTTATTTCCTAAGAGA